TTTTTGAATTCAAGGGTGTATCCTCATAGATTGGGGGATTTACCACGGTTAAAACACCCAGTCTGCCCGGCTATTTCAGTCAAGGTTAGGCGAAGACAAGAGATAGATCTATGCTTATCCCAGAGGTATTTATAAGAAATGAACGCAAAATAGCCCCAATCGTAATTTGAACCCGTATGATTCAATCCTCTTTTCTGTATTGTTAACCGTCAGTCTAACACCTTCACAACAGATTTTTATGCCGTGTCTCAACGGAATATCGGCTCTCAAATATATTCTACCGTTGGTAACTCTCTTTTTTTTCTCCTTATTATCATTCCCTAGAGAGACGCATGCTATCAGTCAATTAAGGGTCATACTTTGGGATGATCACGTCTCCATTCGATTCATGATTCTAAGCAGTTCTTTCTGCGGTAGACTAGTTGTCAATCATGTCCAGAGAACACTGTTCTGTTATTTAACCCATAACTGGGTATTGAAACTTGACTAATGCATGGAATAATAATGCAACACAAAAGGTACTTAGAACAAAATGTATTGAAACAAGAAAGTGTACACAATATTTACATATAGTCTTTTGTATATTCCTGGTATGACCGTTCCTGGAGAATGTGTTGACTGAGTCGCAGTCGGGCAGAGTCTCTGGTTGAATCTCTTGATTCCTCCCTCGCTTCCCGGTACCAACCATATTTATATGGTCGGTACTCCACTATGCAAATTAGGTGGATCAACACTGGTGGAGGAGTAAGTGAATGTAACGAATCCGATTTTATCAAGTATATGCAAAAGCTTCCAGGATTTTTATTTTTGAAAATTAAAATAAAAAGTTAAAAAACAGTCCTGGACTTTTTTTTTCACATAACTAATATTGCTACAACTGCCAGATTCCGAGATTAAACATATACGGCTTTTATATATGTTGACCCAGGGGTCATTTGTGCGTAAGGGAATGTAACGAACTCGACTTGAATTCGAACTCGGCACTCCGGTTTCTCATTCCGAGCTGGTATCTATTTACGCCACAAGATGGTGTTCAGTATTAACTGCGGTGCGGAGTTGTGGGTTCTGTAATATCGAAGGGAGGTTTGGGGCACCTCGAGGCGATGTAATGGTTAACAAGCTTGTCTCGCTAGAACAATTACGACTGAGTAGTGAGTTCGATCCTCACTGGGTGCCCCATAATTTCGGCCTTGTGCCACATCTAAGCTACGCTTGGAAAATCGCTATCGAAGGGAAGTCGAATAAAAAAAAATCACCCCAGTCCCTGTATTGCCAACCATTTACACAATGTTACGCCATGTTTTTTCCTTGGCCCCTCTTGACTTGTGCCACATGAATGCCAGATTTTTCAAAATACTTTTAGTTCATTTTACACTAAACATCACCGAGTGTGCTACTATTTACTCATAAGTTCAGAGGTGTAGAGGATTTATTTCAAGGGCATTTGGGCAAAATGAAAATCAAATGTCTCTGCTAGAATTTGAACTCGGTTCAATAATTCTGTTAATTATTATGTAGAAATGGAATAAGAGTCGTGACGCCATCTACCCTCGATCCTTCTTTGGAATAAGAATTGTAATACCACATAAACTGAACCCATACTTAGATTTCTAAATTTAGAATCTTAACACTTTAAACATATGTAAATTATTTATATCCGAATTTCTGGGATGAGGTGCTATCACTATTTGTACTGTTTATATTCGGAATATTGCCTTCATCTTTGTTAATGTTACCACAACGTTTCGGTCGGTGTACCCCCCGGCCTTTATCAGCTGTGTATGGGTAACTTATAAAGAATTCGATGAGTACAGTCTAGCATGACAAGCAGCAGCAGCATCCATCAACAGATAGGTTAGGTTTAAAGCTCCAAATTCTCTACAGACAGTACAGGATAACCGGGGATTAAATCGTTCGGTTTCGTAAGTTCAATCTCTAGGCTAGGTAGTGTGTACTTGCACTCAGTAGAAACAGGGTGAGCAATAACTGAGCAAGTACTAAACATGAGAATTACAAGAGATATCCCTAAACATGAGCTGTGGAAAGAGAATAGATTAAATAATGGGTTCAATTTGAAATTCCTTGTAGGTTACCCGGATTGATATACACCTGATGAAGGCCGTCACAATGGCCGAAACGTTGTGGTAAAAGCAACAAAGATGAAGACAATATTCCGAATGTAAATATTATAAATAATTATAGCACCTCATCCCAGAAATTCGAACATAAATAATTTACTTATAGTAGTAATTTAAAGTGTTTAGATTTTCCGGATTCCACATTTAGAAACATCAGTATGGATTAAGGTTGCGTGGTATTACAATTTTCATTCTAAGGAAGGATTCAGGCCAGATAGCGTCACAAATCTCGTTCCAATTCTACATCATAGTTAATACAATTATTGAACCGAGTTCAAATTCTAATTGAATCGTTTGATTTTCATTTTTCACAACATCAAAGACGAGGAAAATAGTCCAAATGTAAACAGTCTAAATAGGTCTCTCTCTGATATTAAATGAACTAATTAATTAATTAAGGAGGCACGGTGGATAGCGGCTCGGATTGAGGAATCGGAGAGCCGAGTTCGAATTCCAGTCGAATCTATTACAATCACTTATGACTCCTCTTCTTCTCTCACCCCCCCTAGCTATGATTAAATCACAAGACAGACCGGGTTCTATAGCCTTGGATGGCACCTAGTCTACCTTAGAAAGAAATAGCAACCTACTACGCGAAAAAAAAATTGCCTCGTCAGTCATGTATCGAAAGATACATGATCGCCTAAGCATGTATCGCACATGGTTGACGGAATTAATCTTTTCTTCTTGCAATCCTTTCCTATTTTGGCTAAGAACACTTTCAGTTTTCTTTCTGAGTCTTCTATCAGTACACTGTCATCTGCGTATTGTCCATTGTTAATATTATGTCCGCTAAACATAAATCCTGGTATGTTGTGTAGTTCTCTTAGGATCCCTTCGCTGTAATCTTCTTATTTTACGTGCTATGTCCCTTTAGAACGTAGATATGGCTCACTACAAATTCATGTCTGTCCTAATCAAAGTTTGTCTAATTACAATTACGTCTCTTTTCTGTCATGTATTGAATATTGATGTCACATCTGGTCTGATGCTTCTGCTGTGTATTTTGAGATTTTTGACAAAGTACAAAGAAGAATCTACCTCATCTCGGCATCTCGGCTTCAGTCACTTTCCCACCGCTATAGATTCCCTGTGTCTTTTCTATAAATAATTCTATGGCAATTGTTCTGACGAGCTTTCCTCTAAGTACATAAACTGTAAGGGCAGTATTAGATTGGCTACAAAGTCGCATCATTGTTTTTAGCTGAAACAGCGAAATGTAATCATAAATTAAACACTAAAATAAATTTTCTGTTCCAGGGTATCTTTCTCTTTGTTGAAATTATTCTGTCATATATATCCATAACTTTGGTGTTTATGTCCGGAATTAATTGTTCTGATAAGCTTTTCTCTGTGGTATTAAGCGCAAGATTGAAATGACTAAATGCAACCGTAAGTTCTATGCTAACAGTTTCTTCTATTGTACTTCTCGTATGCGTAACTCCCTTCCGGCTTCTTGCTTCCCAGTCAACTTTGATCTTCAAAAATTCAAATGCTATGTCAATCGTTATATTCTGTCTTCTTAATTCCTGTTCTTTTATTGTTCTTAATAGTTTTTTTTATTTATTTCATATTCTCTCACACTCGGTAATCCTTGCGTCTTAGTGGCTTTATTACCTTGCTTATAAGGAAATGATTAAAAAATAATCTATTTACACAAACTCGTTAGGTAGGTTACTTGCTGTTTCTATTTACATCTCTTGCCACAAATATGCACTGTGAGTGTTAAATTCTCCAAGCCCTCTTTTCTTATTATTTTTCCCACGGATTTAAGCGAAACTTAATAAATACTGATTTTCCAACCTTAATCTGTGGGAAAAAGAACAAAATTTTGAATGGGGAAACAGGTATAAGAAAGATGACTTATGTGAAATTCTGCATGTGGGTGTGTGGGTAGGTGGTTTCACGTATTGCAAAAAAGATTTTGTAAGAATGGTGTTAGTATCACACCAAGAAAGTAAATTTCGTTAGAATCAACGAAAAGATTACTGGTCTGTTATGCAATATCAGTCCTCCTTTATGGCAGTAAATGCTGGACAATCTCTTTGCAAACGTAGAAGAAAGTTGAAGCATCAGAAATGAAGTTCTAGAGAAAGATGCTGAGAATACCATGGACTGAACATGTGAGAAATCGACGAAGTTTTAGAGAAAATGGAAACAATAAGGAAACGTATACTTAACACGAGGAAAATTAAGTTGAAATTTCCAGAGAACATATTAAAGAAAGTGGGTTTGGAAAATTTGATACTCACGGGTCAGATAGAAGGCAGGAAGGACGGTGGAAAAGAATGTATAAGATAGTGAGCTTGGGTAAATAAATAACGAAGCAAGATTTAGGAGAGTTAAGAAAAAGGCAAAAATTTATTAAGAACAACAAAAGACAGGAAATAGTGGAGAGCCATGCGTTCTGATGAGACATGACAAGAAGAAGAAGAAGAAGAAGAAGAAGAAGAAGAAGAATCATACCAAGCACTGACGAAATATTATTGCGCAATAATATAGACTATAGAGCTGAGTGGGTTTTCTAAGTAGCTTCGCCAATTGCTTTATATACCACCCACTCACGCTGCAGACATTAAAATGCACCCCGGAGGTGGAGTCGTCACGTCATAGCCTTATTTCGTATGCATTGATTTCAAATCCCCAGTCGAGGGTCTTCGATGTCATTGGAATTACAAAGGAAGATAATTCATAATTTTATTTCTTGACTGTTTCCGTTTTGCTGGCTTTTTTCAATCTCTCTCTCTCTCTCTCTCTCTCTCTCTCTCTCTCTCTTTTCTCTCTCTCTTTCTCTCTCTCTCTCTCTTTCCATTTCATATTTCTCTTTCTTTTCTTTTCACTCTTTTCATAATTTTTTTCCTTATGCTATTCAATCACCCTCTTTATCTCTCTCTTTCTCTCTCTCTCTCTGTCTCTCTCTCTCTCTCTCTGTCTCTCTTTCTTTCCATTTTCTTTTCTAGTTTTCCACTTTTTCATGTCTTTCTTACTTTTTATCTTTCTCTAACTCTCTTTACATTTAATTATGTTTTCCTATATCACTTTTCTTTTTCTCTCTTTGTAGTCCTCTTACTCTCTTTCCACTCCATCCTATTTTACGATTCCATTTTCTTTCTTTCTTTCTTTCTTTCTTTCTTTCTTTTTCCCTTTTATCATTTTTGTCTTTCTCTCTCTCTCTCTCTCTCTCTCTCTCTCTCTCTCTCATTGTCTCCTTATTTCTCTCTTCAACTCTCCCCATTTACGGTAATATCAGTAGGCAGCTTTGAATGACCGCACACATGGGTCAAGAATAATTAAGAAGTGATTATATCAGACTAAAAACAACATATACAAACCGTTAATTTTCTTCTTTATCATTAGATTATCTATCTATCTATCGATCGATCGATCGATCTATCTAATCAAAGACTATTCAAATCTATATATGTATCTATTTATGTCTCTTCATTATCTATCTATCTATCTATCTATCTATCTATCTATCAAAGACTATTCAAATCTGTATATATATATCTATTCATCTCTTCATTATCTATGTCCATATCTATCTATCTATTTATCTATCTATCTAAGACAATTCAAATCTGTATATATATATCTATTTATCACTTCATTATCTATGTCCATATCTATCTATCTATCTATCTATCTATCTATCTATCTATTTATCTATCTATCTAAGACTATTCAAATCTGTATATATATATCTATTTATCACTTCATTATCTATGTCCATATCTATCTATCTATCTATCTATCTATCTATCTATCTATCTATCTATCTATCTATCTAAGACTATTCAAATCTGTATATATATATCTATTTATCACTTCATTATCTATGTCCATATCTATCTATCTATCTATCTATCTATCTATCTATCTATCTATCTATTTATCTATCTATCTAAGACTATTCAAATCTGTATATATATATATCTATTTATCACTTCATTATCTATGTCCATATCTATCTATCTATCTATCTATCTATCTATCTATCTATCTATCTATCTAAGACTATTCAAATCTGTATATATATATCTATTTATCACTTCATTATCTATGTCCATATCTATCTATCTATCTATCTATCTATTTATCTATCTATCTAAGACTATTCAAATCTGTATATATATATCTATTTATCACTTCATTATCTATGTCCATATCTATCTATCTATCTATCTATCTATCTATCTATCTATCTATTTATCTATCTATCTATCTAAGACTATTCAAATCTGTATATATATATCTATTTATCACTTCATTATCTGTCTATGCCCATATCTATCTATCTAGCTATTTATCTATCTATCCCACAAAAACTATTCAAATCTATCTATGCGTCTATCTACCAAAGACTATTCAAATCTCTCTCTCTCTATATATATATATATTTATATCTTTTCATTATCTATCTATCTATCTATCTATCTATGGGCTCGTGGCTGAGGGGTTAGAACTTTCGCTTTCCGAACATAAAAGCCGTATGTCAATATGGCCGATTTGTCAGGAAGGTGACCGACATCTTGATGTTATCTGTTTGGGGAGGGGCGATCACAGCGTCCGACATATCTGGAAAGTGTCTGAAAGTTCTATGCTACCAGTTGATTTTTTTCTAAAATTTTCTATTTTCTCACATATTCATGCCATTGTATTCTCAGCATCCTTCTGTAGAATCACATTTCTGTAGCCTCAAATTTCATGTCCAGCATTCCCTGCCACATAGGAGGGCTGATATTACATTACGGTTCAGTATTCTTTTCTTTGTTTCTAACGATATTTTCCTGTTTCTTTATGCTTTGCTTAGCTTTTGTAAGGCATATTTCGCTATCTCAATGCGCCTTCGTATTTCGGTGTCGCCTTTTTTGTCCTCTGTTGAAACACTTTCTAGATATTTAAATTATTGTACTTGCTTGATTTTGATATGTTCAATTTGTAATTCACGTGTTGGGTTTCTGTCTTGCTGAAAATCATACATCCTGTCTTCTTACAATTGACCTTTAGCCCTTTCTTCTCGCTTTCCTTTAATACAATCTGTAGCATTTCCTTAGTTTCCGTTCTGTATCTGCTATCAGCACTATGTCATATACATAGCTAATGTTATTCAGATTGTGTACTTTATAATACTGTTACTTAATTTTACAAATCAAGATGCGAGCCCTCCCTGGGCATGACGAAAAACTACATCCGCGTCCTGGGTAAGCCAATAAACTACATTCGCGTCCTGGGTAAGACAATAAAATATATCTGTGTCCTGGGTAAGACGATAAACTACATTCGCGTCCTGGGTAAGGCGATAAACTACATCCGCGTCCTGGGTAAGGCGATAAACTACATCCGCGTCCTGGGTAAGACGATAAACTACATTCGCGTCCTGGGTAAGACGGTAAACTACATCCGCGTCCTGGGTAAGACGATAAACTACTGGGTAAGACGGTAAACTACATTCGCGTCCTGGGTAAGGCGATCCGCGTCCTGGTAAAGGCGATAAACTACATCCGCGTCCTGGGTAAGGCGATAAACTACATCCGCGTCCTGGGTAAGACGATAAACTACATTCGCGTCCTGGGTAAGGCGATAAACTACATCCGCGTCCTGGGTAAGACGATAAACTACATCCGCGTCCTGGGTAGACGATAAACTACATTCGCGTCCTGGGTAAGACGATAAACTACATCCGCGTCCTGGGTAAGACGATAAACTACATTCGCGTCCTGGGTAAGGCGATAAACTACATCCGCGTCCTGGGTAAGACGATAAACTACATCCGCGTCCTGGGTAAGACGATAAACTACATCCGCGTCCTGGGTAAGACGATAAACTACATTCGCGTCCTGGGTAAGACGATAAACTACATCCGCGTCCTGGGTAAGGCGATAAACTACATCCGCGTCCTGGGTAAGACGATAAACTACATCCGCGTCCTGGGTAAGGCGATAAACTACATCCGCGTCCTGGGTAAGACGATAAACTACATCCGCGTCCTGGGTATGACGATAAACTACATTCGCGTCCTGGGTAAGACGGTAAACTACATCCGACAGCAAGGCCTTTGATCAGGAGGTTTTGAGGAACATGGAACCACCTCTTAATTGCAGGTGTTCCCAAGTCCACCCTAATCCAGGGTGGTAGTACCTGTCAGGATCCCAGCTATGGGCAAATAGTTAACACCCCCAAATGGGTCAAAACAGTATAAAAGTATAAAAGTAGGTTTTATTACCAGCAATACATTTTTTTGGGGAAAAAATTATTACTGGCAATACATTCTTGGGGGGAAAAAATTACCAGTAATCCATTTTTGGAAAAAAAATATTACCAGTAAAAAAAAATCTTGTCGGCATTAAATAACCCATTGAGGTTGGTATGCCGTAAACCAAACCAAACAAAATGTGAGCTAAGAATTTGAGATGTCAAATTCAACTTAAATATCTAGGGAGTCTTTTGACAGGGGGCGGAAAATATGACACCGAAATCCAAAGACGCATTGCGATAGCGAACGATGCCTTCCAAAAATTAAATTATTAAGAAACGGGAAAATGTCAGTGAAAGTTCCTCACCATCCCAACATAACGAGGCGACTCAAATTAATTTAATGTCTGTTAGCTTAGTTTTGGCACAATACCGATATGTGTCATCCAGCGAGGATCGAACTCACTACTAATAGGCTACAAGCCCAGTTTGCTTAGAACTACATTACAATAAGCGTCGACATAAATGCAATGTTAATGCTTTATATTATAGAAATACAGTGAAAATTAATACACGTCTAAAGCAGATGATTATGAATGTTATACGAGAAACTCTGCTATAACAAATATTTTTTATTCTTCAAATGTTTTTGAAGAGTGTGCCTTACCATTATAATGCTGGAGAATAACGCCTTTCCTGTTTACCAAAGCTGGATACTTTCAACGTAATGTTTCGTTTACGTGATCAATTTGCTGGAAATAAATGTCATGGTGCTTCCATGGTAGAGCATATCGTAATTGACGACAACTTACATATTCCATCTAACAGAAAGCAGGAATTTCTGTGGATGGAGACCTAGGGATTTTTTGTGTGCTGGCACTTGTTTTTCATTTTATTTACCGTCGCTTTTGTTTGGTTTTCTGTTGACGTGCAAAACCTATTTTTCATCATCTGTGACAACGCGATTCAAAATCAAAGTTTGTCATTCCAGTTTTAAAGATTGTTGCAGACAACAGAACGTTGTGTTCGTTTTCCATGAGACGATAAACTAATTCTAGTCGCAGTTTCTTATCGTTCAACCTTGGTAGGTTAATTCATAAATTATAGCGATGAAATAAATCTTTACTTTCCGAATACCAAATGAATGAAGTAAGGTAAAGTATTCCTTCCTCCTGGCGAGTGGGCAGAACGGTTCGTGTGCGAAATTCCAGAGTCGAATATAACATCAACCAGCTAAGTGACAAATTTTATTCATATTATTCCTATATATATATATATATATATATATATATATATAATACCAATTAATAATTGGTATGCATAATTCGAAGGAGGATATTAATCTAAACTGAGCTCAATGTAAGTAATAGAATAATAATAATAATAATAATAATTATAATAATAATAATAATGAGCAAAGACAAGCCTTAAAAATCCATTTCGGTTCTAATTTATTTCATGAATACATTTCAATATTCATCTCTTCAGGCATACGAAAAAAAATTGTCTGAACAGATGAATATTTAAATAAATATAAATTATAACCGAAATAGACTTTTAAGTATTATATCTTATACGTATTTATATATATATATATATATATATATATATATATATATTCATGTATATATAGATACAAAATATACATATACGCACATATACTTGCACGTGCATATATATTTCTTACTCAGGTGTTATAAAAACAGTGTCCACCGCCATATAACAGAGCTATTATTAAATATATATTAGTGATTATACATAATATCCAACGTCGATAGCACGACTAGAAGTTTCATACAAACTTGCAATCTTTAGTCTGTATTCCGCATGAAGATTGCCAGTTTGCATGAAACTCAGAATCGTACTATTGACATGGTATGTTTACTATATATATATATATATATATATATATATATATATATATATATATATATATATATATATGTATGTATGTATGTATAGGATTCGGCAGTGAGGTGGCAATACTCTCTACTTGTAAAATCCGAAATATCATCGCGGTTTTTTGCGCATGTGTTCAAGCCATAATGGACGCTCTGAAGTCATCTTCGATAGTTGCCGTTAAATTCGTACCGTCGTCGTCGTCGCTGTGTTGCAGCCAATCACCCTCCTGTCTACTTACGACTTCTGCTATTAAATTAAGTTGCGATAAAAATATCTACAATTTTTGCATGCCTTTCTATATTTGAAAACTAAAATAAAACGAAGAGTAAAGTAAAAGAAAAATATATTCAAAAGCCCAAAAATATTAATTCCGCTACTTGATGTGTCTATTTTTGGGGGGCGGCAGTTCGGAAATGTTTGTTTGTTTGTCTATTCCTTTAAGAAGAAGAAAAAAAATTGCCGACACATTCTGCCAGTCTCCATTTTCCAAAGTGCGATATGCCTCGATGCTCATCAAATTTACTGAGGTGCAAGAAAAGCAAAAGTGGAATATGTAATTTAAAAGAAGAAATGGATGGAAGTATTTAAAATACGGTTGGAACTGTTGGTGAATTCTTTCTTTCTTTCTTTCTTTCTTTCTTTCTTTCTTTTTTTCTTTCTTTCTTTCTTTATTTCTTTCTTTCTTTCTTTCTTTTCTTCCTTCTTTGTTTCTTTGTTTCTTTCTTTCTTTTCTTCTTTCTTTCTTTCTTTCTTTCTTTTCTTCCTTCTTTCTTTCTTTCTTTCTTTCTTTCTTTTCTTCTTTCTTTCTTTCTTTCTTTCTTTCTTTCTTTCTCGCCAAAAGTAAGATCCGGCATTTTTTTGGGATAGGTATCATTCAATTAATCCTCTTCAATTACTTAATACAAGCAATTACCTACA